GCCAATGAACTGCTGGAGTCCAGAAGAAGAGAGGGGACCCCAGGTGTTCTATGCAAACTGGATATTGAAAAAGCTTATGATCATGTTAACTGGCACTGCTTGAATCTGGTTTTGGAGAAAATGAATTTTGGGCAGCTTTGGAGAAACTGGATCAGAGTTTGTGTTAAGACTCCTAAGTTCTCAATCTTAGTTAACGGGCAATCAACAGGGTTTTTTGGAAGTTCAAGAGGTTTGAGACAAGGTGACCCTCTCTCTCCCCTTCTCTTCATTTGCGTCATGGAAATTTTATCTCTCTTTAGCAAGAAGGCTGCTGAGAATGGGCTTTGGGAGGGCTTTGCAATTGCTCCAGGAAAAGAAAAAATTAATATTCTTCAATTTGATGATGACACCTTATGCTTTGTTGATGCTTCTCCAAATCAACTAGAGGTGGTGCTTGGAATTTTGAGTTGGTTTGAGGTGGTGTCTGCCTCAAGGTAAATTTGAGTAAATCTCAGATTATCCCTGTAGGTCTTGTTACAAATCTAGAAGTTTGCGCAGAAGTTATTCAGACTACCCATCTTCCGGTCAAGTACTTGGGGCTCCCTCTTGGAGCTAAATATACTTCCCCTCAGATTTGGAATCCAGTGGATGAAAGAATGGAGAAGAAATTGGCTTCCTGAAAATCTAAATAGCTTTCTTTCAGTGGGGGAGTGATTTTGATTAAGAGTACTCTTTCTAATCTACCTACTTACTTCCTCTCCCTCTTTCCTATTTCTTCCAAAGTGGCTAACAGATTGGAGTAACTACAGAAAAATTTTCTCTGGAGAGGTTGGGAGGAGGAGAAGAAGGTTCATGTTGTAAACTGGGATCAAGTGTGTCTTCCTAAGGAATTTAGAGGGTTGGGAATAAGAAAATTGAAGAAATTCAATTCTGCCCTCATGTGTAAATGGCTTCGGAGATTTGCAAATGAAAGAAATTCTTGGTGGAGAAAGTTGATTGTGAACAAATATGGAGTGGATTGGGGTGATTGGAGATCCAATTCTCCTATTTCAAGAGGGATAAGCTCCATTTGGACAGGTATAATGAAGAACTCTAATTTTTTTGAGGAAGGAATCGGTTACAACTTAGAAAATGGGGAAAGAGTTAAATTTTGGAAAGACTCCTGGTGTTCTGAAGTGTGTCTGAAAGATGCCTTTCCTCTCTCGTATCAAATTTCTGTAAATCAGGATTCCTCGGTGGTTGAGAATTTCAATGTGGATGGTAACTCTTTCAGTTGGAACCTAACTTGTAGGAGGCGTCTCTTTGGCTTGGAAATTGAGTATGCAAATCTGTTGGGCCTGCTCCATAACCAGAGGATTGACCCAAACATGGAGGATGCTTGGAGATGGAAATGGGAAGCTGATGGAAGATTCTCTGTAAAGTCTATGTTCAGTAAGTTGATAAGTTCAGGTCAGGGAAACTTTCTGGCTAGGTAGATTTGGAACTCAACCGGTCCTTCTAAAGTGAAGTTTTTGCTCTGGACAATGGCTTTAAATAAACATCTATCCAAAGTTAATCTAGTGAAACGTGGCATACAGATTTCGGACATGTCATGTGGCTTGTGTGGTGGGGCAGTAGAAACTACTGATCATCTGGCCTTACATTGCCCAGTCTCGAATTATATTTGGAGGCATTTTCTTCAAGCTTTGGAAATCAGCTGGATAATGCCAAATTCTGTGAAGGATCTGCTGTTGTGTTGGAAGATTGAGGGTCTCAGCAAGAAAATGTAACTTGGTTTGGAAGACTATCCTGGCTGCTATGCTTTGGACTATCTGGATTGAAAGAAATAACAGAATTTTTCAGGGCAAAGCTAAATCTCCAGAGGAAATGGTGCAGAAAGCTGTGGGTAAACTTTTGTCCTGGGTGTCGGCAACGGAGGTGTTTAAAAATCAGAATTTGAGTCTGTTGTTTAGATCTCAGAACTGGATGTATCTGTAATTTGTGGTGGCTCTAGGCAGCCTCTAATGGCCTAGGCTCCTTTGTACTGATTTAATAAAATACCTTACCTTTTCCAAAAAAAAAATATTTTGCTCAATGGTTTTATTAATCCTTATTATAGATGTCAGAAGGAACAAAAAAAGTTGTATGGTTTGAATGCTTGAATCACTATTTAACTTTTTGAGCTCAGATACGGAACGAGCCACAGAAAATAGAATAGTTCAACTGCTGAGAGAAACACAACGAAGGAGGACTGAAGAAACGAACGAACACGTGAAAAAGTCGATAGTTCATACCAGGTAACCACTGAAATCGCAACAGAAACGGCATACCCCTCCATCTATGTTAATGATCCTCCGTACGTATCTGCAAAATGAAAAACCTAATACACATACATTATAAAACCAAAAGAAACACAACGAAGGAGGACTGAAGAAACGAACGAACACGTGAAAAAGTCGATAGTTCATACCAGGTAACCACTGAAATCGCAACAGAAACGGCATACCCCTCCATCTATGTTAATGATCCTCGGTACGTATCTGCAAAATGAAAAACCTAATACACATACATTATAAAACCAAAAGAAGAAGAAGAAGAAGAAGAAGAAGAAGAGAAATCGGCTGCAAGTTTCAGATTCGAACTTACCTCTCCTTGTCGCCTCGTTGCTGGGAATTGGTGAATTTACCCTCTTTTTGCGTTGAACTTGTCGCCTCTCTGTATACACGATTCACCGTTGTTTCCGTTGTTTCTACAGTAGAAAGAAACTCCCAATTGAAGGAGGCTCTCGATTTTTTTTCCCTCATTTTTACTTTTCTTTTCGAGGAGATTCCGACCGAAATGTAAGGATCCCGTTTCCTCATTTTGGTCATTTTAAATCTCTATTTTTTTGGGAGGATGGTGATTTTAAATCTCACATTTTCCTTTCTTTTCCTCGTCTATGATCAAACCAAGAACATTCGTAATCTTTTGAAATAGGGTTCGACTATGAATGGGTAAGACAAATTTTCATTTTCATTTTTATAAATGGGTGAGACAAATTTTCCCTTACTTTCTTTCAAATCAAATATAGCGCTATACCTTTCTCGGCCTTTTGGTGTTGGCTAAGGGAGTTCAAATCAGCCCCCCACGACGTCCCACAGCAAATTCCCGCTATGTATTGGGAACATTATCATCCGGAAATGTTTTCAATACACGGCGGGGATGTGCTATGGACGTTCGGGGGCTGATTTGTTCAAAGCGGGATCTGCTCCTCACAAATGGGTGTCTTACATGCACATCTACCAGCATTGAGAACATCTCCCATGAATAATAACTAATAAATAAGGGGGAGATGTTCCCAATGCATGATAGGATGTGTGTATGAGGCGCCAGGTGTGAGGAGCATATCCAGTCTTGATTTGCTCTCAATGGTGAAGTCTACTCGGAGATCGGTTTTAGTCAGGGTAAGCCCTTGTTGATACCGTCCCAACAGCCTTTTGCAACTTTGCATCGGGAATATCTTTTCATGAATTGAGATCTATTCCTCACATAGGGCATCTCACAATGACCTCACAAGCATATTCCATTGTGTATTGGGACTAGACCTGTTCATGGGTCGAGTCGGGCTCAGGCTGGGCTTTTACTCTTCATTAATGAAAATTTGTTAGGCCCGAGCCCGAGCCTGGCCCGACCAACGGGCCTACAACTTGGGCCCGAGCCCGGCCCTGATAAAAAGCCCGAAGCCCGATTGCGTTCGCCGGTGAATGTGTTCGCCGGTGATTGTATTCGCCGGAACTGAGTTCGCGGTGACTGTGGTCTATGAGCTGCGAGCCTACGACCTGCGATTTTAAGTTTAACAGTGATCAGTTCGCATCAGAGAGAGATAACTCTCCACCGCAGTCGGTGCCTATATTCACCGCCTCGCCGTCGCCGGTGTCTGAGATTTGAAAGAGAAGTGAGATTTGAGAAGAGGAACGAGAGAGTCAGAGAGAGAAAGAAAGAAAGAGAGAGAGAGAGAGAGAGAGAGAGAGAGAGAGAAGGAGATGAGTGAGGACTCACCACCGGAGTTGTTGCGCCGATGAACGTTCGCCGCCTCGCCGGTTGTGTGGCTACCTGAGAGTGTGAGGATGAGAAGTTGAGAACTGTGGAGGATGTGGAGACTAGAGAAGAATGGTTTGGCCGGAAAAAGAAAGGAAAGAGGCAAAGAGGTGAAAAAAAAAGGGGTCTTCAACTAGGGTTTTTAGGTTTAGTTATAGGTCGGGCCGGGCTGGGCTATTTTGGCAAATCCCGAGCCCGGCTCGAATTTATTGCAGGCCGGGCTTTTTGGCCCGAGGTTAAGCCCGCGAACCCATATGTGTGTTCAAGCCCGTCCAGGGGCCGGGCCGGCCCGACGGGCCACCCGACCCATGAACAGGTCTAATTGGGACACCTCTTGTAAATAATAACACATACAGGAGATGTTCCCAATGCATAGTGGAATGTGCTTTGTGAGGCCGATGTGAGGCACCATGTGTGAGGAGTAGATTTGGTCTCGAAATAAAGCACGTAAGTATGGAGATATTCTCAATGTAACATTGTAAAGGTTGTTCTAACGGGCACTGCCCTAATGGAAGCCAAACTCGTTTCTTGGAGACTTGGGATCGAATCTCGCCTGCACGAGATTGGGTGCTTCGGATCTTTCTACCCACTATTTGTTCCTGCATCGATACCCACCAAACACTGTCGCCATGTATTGGGAACATCTCCATATGAATGGAAAGGAAGATATTCCCAATGCACAACCATTATGTCCAAGTGGGTTGAGATGTAGGAACAAGTAGTGGGTAGCATATCCAAGCCTTGGGTTTGGAGGGTTATAGGTTGGGAGATGGGCTATCCTACTAAATTGGCATGTTTTAAATGTTCAAGTATTAAATTGTCGCATTTTAAAATTTGGGGACCAAAGTGGCAGTAGGACCAAAGTATAAGGTATTAATTGGAAAATTTCCCCCAAAGCATTGAGATCGTTGAGTGTGATGTGTCTTTTTATCTTTTCTTTTTTCCTTTTTTTCATTTTATATAGGATGTCCAAAAGGGTGTACCCCATAGCACATCCCAACCATGTATTTTTTTTTATAGAAATATTGAGGAGCTACACAAGTCGGGGGTAATTCTTCCTCAATAATCAAAAGAAGAGATCAAATCAGCCCCCCCCCAACCAAGGTTCAAAGTATCGATACGTATTGGCTGATACATATTGTGTCAGTGGCTTCTTGATACGCCCCTACAGGGGTTGTATCAAGTCAATCATTGGTTCAGAGGGTAGCCAGGCCTTAAACCGGCCCCTTTGAACCAATTTAAAAAAAAAAACTAAATAAAACATAAAAAAAACCACTAACACAGGTCAATATGTTGGTAGGGCATATAAGCCCATGTCGATATTTAGAACTTTGACCATAATGTCCCATAGTAAATCCCCGCCGTGCATTAGAAACATCTCCCAATGATGACATCATGATTTTTGGTATTATCATCGGAAGATGTTCTGAATACACGGCGAGGATGTACTGTGGGGGGCTGATTTGAAAAGAACAAATTGGCCTAAGCTCTTGCGGGATATAATCTAAACTCATTTCCTACTAGAGAGTCTTACGAGCAAGCCAATCGGCTGTTTGATTTGCTTCACAAAATGCTTGTAGAAGGAGACGTTTGAGCTTACATAAAACATCCTAACCGTGTATTAGGAACATCTCCCACTGGTAAGTACAGAGGGTGTTCCCAATACACGCTTGTCGCTAATGGGGCGCTAAGACATCCCAACCGTGTATGTAGGATGCGTGTGAACCTCTGAGGCGTGCCTTGTGGAGCACTGATGTGATGCCGTTTAACAAGCGAAACTTTCAATCACTCTGGAGAAGAGAGTAATTGAGACTTTTAATCAACCATTTAGCATAGACAATGACTATAAAATTGGTACACTGCATTTAATTAAATGCATACTACTTTTAGGTATACTAATGGGGACTTTTATAATTCGTTTGGATGCATAGGCTGTTTTAATTTTTAAATGATAATTACTTACACTTTAAAGGCAGGTGTGTTTTTGGTAATAAGTGGGTATTACTTTATGGGTTGTATACTTGTATTATGCATACTAATAATTATTTTTTGTATTATAATGATAATTTATTATTCATTTAGGCTGTGTTTGTTTGGGGTGGAAAAGCAAATTTACACCCATGGAAAAATGTAAACCGGTTCGGTGATACATGTAAATTGGAACCGGTTGGTTGTCGATGTGTGAAATTTGATGAAATTTTTGTTGGTGTTTGGAATACACATCGGTGTAAATTTTACATGGATATCTCTTGCGTTAATTTGGACTGGAGTATCTTATTTCCAACGGTTCATAGGACATTTGAATTTGGACTACAATATTTCATAGCCCCTACCCACGTGGGATAAGCAGACCACAGGTGCATCCCTCTAATATCTTCACCATGGTGCTCATAAGAGGCCTGGTTTCAAGGGAGCTTTGAACACGCCATAGGCCTGCTAAATCTGGGAGCTTGGAACACGCCATAACAGAGGCCAAAAATTTAGATGCTATTGCATCCAACAGAAAGCTTAGCTCTACTCATCTTGCAGCCACAATACAGTTCCAACAAGAGCTTCTAAACTGGATTTCAAATTTTTCCAAGTGGATCAGTGAACAGAAGGGTTTTGTTAATTCCTTGAATGGTTGGCTCCTGAAATGTCTTTTCTATGAACTGGAAGTGACCCCTGATGGAATAGTTCCATTTTCTCCTGGTAGAATCGATGCACCCCCTGTTTTTGGAATTTGTTATCAGTGGTCTCAAGTTTTGGAGAGAATCTCAGAGAGGGAGGTGATTGAAGCCATGTGTACTTTTGCCATGAACTGCTCAACTCTCTTGTCAAAAATTCTGTGTGCAATGGTTTGAAGTCAGGTCTGCAATCCTCTGTAATGTAAACAAATTGACTTTGAAGTTTGATCCACCACTTACCCAAAGAAATGAATGTACTAATGTAGTCAAAGATGTGATCAGTGGAATCAGTCATAGGATGGTACCAAACTGGCCAACAGCATCTGACTTTACTTATAATAGCTAATGAGTAGGTACAAAACCAGACAACAGTGTTAGTTACTATGAAGTCGATCGTTTTCTTTTCTTCTTCTTCTTTTTTTTTTTTGAATGTGCAAATCATTCAACCATATTCTAGTAGAAAAAAAAAGGAAAGAAATGACTAAATTTTGAGTCTTTCAGAAGAAGAATTGACAAAATTTTGAGTTTCAACTGTTGGACTATTCATCTGTATTTGATAAGCTTCTATAGATTTCTTGCTAGGCTTCTCTTGAATTTTGCCTTCCTCTGGTTCAGCAGTTATTTGTATCTCCTCTTCCACAGTTTCATTCAACTTTTCAGTAGACTTCTCTTTGTTTTCATCAGGTCCAATGACCTGGACCCCAACAACTGTAGATGATTCATTTGCTACTCCTTTTCGAACAAGTTATAGAGCGATCTGTCAAAACAGTAAGCATGAAATCAGTACCAAGTTTGTGCATGTGCCCTTTGCATGATGCTCTCAAGGATCCTATGCAGTCATGATCTGAGTTTGACAAACCCAGTCTTCCATAGGATAAAACCTTGGAATTAGTTACAAGTCAGTGTCCATTTGGGTTTTCTGATCATACATTCACATACAACAAAAGCTATTCAAGTTGACATTTTCCCAAGTCTAAATGACTAGCAAGAGTTAAGGGAGGGGTTCTCATCCCCACCACACCCCTCATTTAGTCATTTCCATCTCAACAGCAAACGCCATGGTCCACTCTCCATCATCATCATCCAATCTTATCAACACCCTCCTATGATCAATACCTCTTACCTAGACTTCTAAACTGCCACCACTACTCCCCCTCTGCTACAAATCTAGTCAAATCAAACCCAAAAATATTCTAATATATCTCATAAATCCCCTTTTAAATACTATCATAAAAGTGGAAAAGAAACGAATTTATTTTGAATATAGGCATGTGATCAAATCCCTTAAGAATTCCACTCAAGACATTAGATTAGATACTTCTCAAACTTCAAGTGCTTTCAAGACATTACAGGATGTTCTACCATACACAACTAGAGAAATTATAGAAGATACTCTCAAGCCTCAACTTGCATGAACGTGAAGGAAAGAAAAAAGAACAATACTATAAGATGTCTATAAACTGAA